GTCTTCTTCAGAATAAGACAGTGTACACAAGTGTACGAGAATACAATACAATTGTATTTTCGTACACTTGTGTACACTGTCTTATTCTGAAGAAGACCTGTTGGTCGAAATATCAATACAGTAATATTTGGCTATTCAAATAATTTTAAATGTCGAGGAGGGGTCAATTTTTCATATATTTTCTCTCTCTAATATTCATAATGTTCCTCGCAAGAGCGCTCCAAAGAATAAGTTCGGAAAAGAATTTAGTTTGATAACAGGAGTATGGCAGACCTTTTGACGTTGTTTTACCCCGATTTCTCTTGCCGGGTTTTCTGTAGAGAGGTGGGTCGCAAATCGGAAAGGGTCGTTAATTAGGCACCTTACTATTGATCGCCTTGTTGGAGGCTCTCTAATCCGAGTTCCGACGTTGTGTCCGTTTCTGCTGCTGACGCTAAGTTCACGGACATAAAGACGGCGTCGTGTTGCCACTCCGCTCCCTCCTCCTCTATAAGTGGGCGAGAATTATTCATACAGGCCACCAGCCTCCAAGCTGCTGCACGACAGGCGCGGATCCAGGGGGGGGGGGGGGGGGGGGGCGACGGGGGCGGCCGCCCCCCCCCATCCGAAAAAGGCGCCCATATCTCGCGGCAGAGAGGGCGCCCCGAGCAGAAGAGCGGCGACACAGCAAAGGTTCAGCAGATATAGGGCGCCTCCAGCAGAAGTTGGGCTCACCAAGCAGGAGAGTGACGCCCAATTGCCCATTCCCAGCAGATGAGAGTCGCCCCAGCAGCAGATGGGCGCCCCCAGCAGAAGAGGAACGTCTTATTACAAGAATAAAAAGATACATTCTGTTGAGGGGCGCCCCTGGCAGTGGAAAGGCACCTCCAGCAGGAGAAGGCACCCCTGAAGAGGAGCGACGCCCCAGCAAACGGAGAGAGGCGCCCCCATTCCGAGAAGAGGGGCGCCCTGACAGCAGATGGGCGCCCCAACAAAAAAGGAGCTCCATAAGAAGAAAATGGGTGCCACTGGCAGAAGAGGGGCGCCCCAGCAGAAGAGAGGGGTCTCCAGCAGGAGACGGGCGCTCCAAGCAGAAGAGGGGCGCCCAAGCAGAAGAGAGGCACCACAGCAAAAGTTAATCAGAAATAGGGAGCCTCCAGCAGAGGTTGGGCCCGCCCAGCAGGATATGGGCGCCCCATTGACAATATCCGGCAGACGAGAGACGCCCCAGCGGCAGATGGGCGCCCCAGCAGACAGCAGCCGTTGGGCGCCTCCAGTAAAAGAGGGGCGCCCCATTACAAAAAGAAAAGGAGTATATTCTACCAAGAAGGGCGCCCCTGACAGCGGAAGGGCAACCCCAGCAGAGGGGCGGTGCCCCAGTAAAAGGAAGGGTGCCCCGTTCCGAGCAGAAGAGGGTCGCCTCGCCCCAGCAAAAAAAAAAAAAACAGGAGCCCCATAAGAAGAAAAGGGGTGTCTCTGGCAGAAGATAGACGTTCCCCGCAGTGGAAGGGCGCCCCCACAAGAGTGGCGTCTCCAGCAAAAGAAAAGTGCCCCTGCAAGAGAGGGGCGCCACATCAAAAGTTGGGCAGAAGTGGGGAGCCTCCAGCAGAATTTGGGGTCGCCCAACAGGAGAGGGCCGCCCTATTCACAGTAGAAAAAAGACTCTTCAGCAGCAAAGGGGCGCCCCAACAGAAAAGGTGCACTCGTAGTAGAAGTGGGACGCATCAGGAAGAAGAGGGGCACTTCTAGCAGAAGATGGGCGTCCCAGATAAGTGGGCCGCCTACAGCAAATTGGTCGTTCTTAGGAGGAAGAAATGAGGCGACTTAAGCAAAGTGGGTCTCCCCATGAGGGATTAGGCGATCCAAGCAGAGGTTGGTCGCTTCCGGGAGAAGTGAGGCATACCAGTATAAGTGAGACGCTTCCAGAAAAAGGAGGGATATCACCGGGAGAAGAAGGACTGCACCAGTAAATGGAGGCCACCTTTTTGCTAATCTCTTTTGCTAGGGTAGCGGTGCCCATCTACGACTTTTAACCCGTGCCGTGCTGATGGTCTGAGTTTTCCGTGTCCTGCTGGGGAGGGGGGAGGGTCACACTCCCTCGTCTAACTCGGCTTCTGGGCCGCGTAGTGACACGCGATAAGCGGCATTCGAAAGATCGTCCAAAAACAGGACGAAAACAAAACGGTCATTTTTTAGGTCAGGTCGAATGTCAGGTCACCAGAGGTCATCAAAGGTAAAATGTTGCCTATTTCAACATTTTTCCGTTTTCGAAGCAGCGGCACATAACTCGGAAACCAATAGAGCTATAGCGCCGCAGAAAAGCGCATTCGATAGCCCTTTCAGAGGTGTTACTGTGAGCTGCGCTCAGATTTGACCTCAGGTCAACGGTTTAGCCTTCAGAGGGCAAAAGACTCTAAAATAGCCGATTTACGAACAATGTTTTCCTGCAATAACTTTTGACTCAAGAGAGTCTCGACATTACGTTTGCCAGCATTGCGTTTCTGTCGTCGAGACACGTCGAATAAACTAAAGGTTGACCTTATGAAAAGTAATTTTGAGAATTTGACCTCAGGTCAAGGTCATGACCTGACCGGGAAAGGTCTGGTCATGCTGCATAGCAGTCGATGCGTATCGTCGAGCTGAACACAACTGAGGAGTGTTTTTATCGCTCTAGCATGAATCTATCAAACGTTATTTAAAAAACAAAACTGCTGTGGACCTTTCATGACATGGGATGACCTCTGGGACATAATGAGTGGTCACACTAGGTGCAATGTTCTTATTCAGTGTGCTAACCCTCGCATGTGTGCGGCGTTTGCCAGCTTCTAATGTGTAGGGGGGGGGGTCGGTTGGACCCCCCCCCCCCATTGCCGTTTGGCCCCTGATCGAGCTAGAGCTTCGCGGAAAAAACGAGCGTGTTGCCCGTGACGAGAGGAAGCCGATGATACCAAATTTTCAGGTCCTAGGTCATTGGTTGACCTTCCAGGTCAGGTCAATGACCCAAAGTCAGGAAAATCGGGACCTGTTACAAAGTCGTAAAGTGTGGGGCGCGAGAACTACTTTCCGACTGGGGGGGCACACCATAATAGAGGTCAACCTAGGGTACCCCCAAATCTAGTTTTCTCACCGGTTTTAGGCCACTTATTTTTCACCCCTCGGCTTTTTCAACAAAAAAAAGAAAACATTTGCAAAAAAGTGTGGTATTCCGTCTCAAAGCTGTGGGGGCACCGCCCCCACGGCCCCAGAGTTGGGGGGGGGGGGCAAGCTGCCCCCACTGCCCCCCCGGCTCCCGCGCCTATGAGTGTGGCTGCTAAGAGGTTTTTCGGGGTGCCGATCACGAATATCGTGTTAGTTTTGATCAAAGATGATGTCCTTAAGCATTTTGACCAGGTCAGGTCAGGTCAGGTCAGGTCAACCAGTAGGGGTCGTGACGGGTATTCGTAGTACGTGTCAACCGCCTCTGATAGCTTCGTAACATGTTACGAAGTCACCAAAACTACTTCGTAAATGTTCAAATGGTTGCTAAATTCGAATTCAGCTCCAAAAACTAGCCTAGAAACATGTAAAACTCGAAAAAGTGAACCGAGGTCACTAGAGTTGCAAAGTTTTCCCAATGGGCTGCTACCGGCACCGCCCCGCCCCACAAAAATTTTCTGGGATACCGGCATGCTACCACGCCCCAAGCAAAAAAAAACCGCCAAATTACCGGCATACCGGTAATTTGGCGGTAATTTTAATACGGCATATGGAACTTTTACCACAAAATGTATTTTGCAGTGGCTAAGATTGCTGTTATTACAATTCAATAGCCTCTTAGTGTCCAAAGTTTGAATCATATGCTGATAATTTTTTTGTGTGCAAAATCAAAAATACCGGCATGCTACCGGCAAGACATGCCAGATACCACGAAAAAACCTGCGGTAGTGAAAAATTACCGGCATGCCGGTAGTGCGGTAGGGAAATTTTGCAACTCTAGAGGTCACCAAAGGTCACTGACCTGACCTGACCTTCAAGTGACCTTGACACCCACCCTAATGCATGGGAGCAACATCAAATCACATGTTTGAACGTTTGAAACCACGAAAAGCTTGCAAACGCGCGGCTAATGCGAGCCAACATACGCAGAATGGCGATTCCGGCCAAACATGGTCTCGGAAAAGAGGTCACAGGTCAAAGGTCATTGGGGTCAGGGTCATGAAATTTTCAGGGTAGGTGTAAAATTGATCAATGCGAGGGTACTGAAAGTTTCGTCGCGATCGGCCGCTTTTTACGCGAGTTATTCGCGAAAAAAAACATGGGGGGGTCCATCCGACCCCCCCTACACATGCGAGGGTTAATTTTATATGTATCCCAATGCTTGATATTGTCTAGAATGGCGCTCGTCCAAAAGAGATGCCTTTCAGTTTTCTCCCAAAGACTTAATCATACCTACCTACCTAATGAAGACGTCGCACAACTGACCTGACCTTAGGTCACAGATATCGAAATTCCGAGATATACATTTCATGAATATTGTTGCTTTCATCAATCGCTGAAAGGTTCAAAGCGATCGTTCAGTCGGTATAGCAATGGTGAGCATTTGAACTTTTTCTTAGGTTAGGTCACTTGGCATAACCTGGTGACCTGACCTTCCATCACCCGCGTCTGAAATTTTTACAACATGTGCAGAAAAGATGCATGATAAGGTTTACTGAAAATGGCGGCGCTGCGCTCAGCCGTTTTTCAGATATATGCGAAAAACCTGACGGGGAGCGCAATAACGCCCCCAGCACGGCGCGGGTTTTTAACTCCCGATTTTGAGGGTTTGGCGCCCCCTTTGTATGGAGCGCCCCCGGATTGCCAGGTCGCCCCTATTTCGACTTGCCGCCCCCCCAGCTCCCGAAAATTCCTGGATCCGCCCCTGCTGCACGAAGTCTATCTTTTACCTCAATGTCCTGTTTCTACGTTGATCTCATCGCAAACAGCTGCCCTTTTGCCCATAGTGACAAAAGAGCAGCGTTTTATAAGATTTATCGAACACCACTATTGGCGGCAATTTCGGCTGACTGCTCGCGTCGCGCCGGCGCGCGCGTGAACTGCAAACAACTCTCCTTGGTTGTTGCAGTTCAAGTTTGTGCGTGTGTGTTTTTGGATTCTTTTGCTATTAATTTCATGTTTTTTAGCTTTGTAAGTGATCGGTTTTCTGTAAAAATCATGCAAAAGCTATCTTTATAATATAGCATGTTAAGTCAAGTGAGGGTACCTACTTGTGGTCGACGGTAATGGAATGGAGTGACACCCGTCACCCAAGGAAAGCAGTCAAGAAGTCAAATTACTTTGACTTCGCACTTTGACGTTAACGTACGAGTTCGAGAAACGACTTAGCTGCAAGTTGAAACAGATAAATTTGAGTTGACCATGGTACTTTTTAAAATATAGAACATGAGGTTCAATTGCATTATATGCACAGATCTCTTTGTACCCTCGAGTGATATTTCAAGCACAGAATGTGGACATCTATTCCACTCCCACTGTATCATGCAGTGGTTGGAAAGGTGAGTTGCTTCATTTTTTTCCAAAAACTTCTGTAGAATATGATAAGGTATTGGTAAGGCAGATGTCACACCAGCGTAGGTACGTTAACGTAGTGCTAAATATTGTTGGTTTAGCTTAGTTGCAACTTAGGTACCTAATTCTTAGGCATGGATATTAAACTAATTTCAAGACAAATTTGTATTATTAAAGGATAACCATATAACTTATTTGTTTCACAGAAACATGAACAAGCATTTTCCTTTGAAGTCTAAGCATAATCATGAGTCAGCTATTGATGCTTCCAGGACAGGGTATTAGTAGAGCAGATGCCATAGTAAGGTTTTCCATCAGAAGAGGTGCTATACTTGCAGATGCTTCTTTTGAACCAAACCAAAACAAACCTAATCTAATCTGACCTAACCTACCCTACCCTACAACCTACAAACCTAAAACCTACAAACCAACAGCTAGCACCTCTCCTTGGTTAGAAAACCTTTGTATGACATCTGCTCTACCATAGATAACATGGCTCTACTTATCCCAACTCTTCCTAATGACTGTGACAAATCATTTGATGGAGCTGCGTAGCCATAATTTGGCAATTTTAGAGCCTTGGGGCCCTTTTGAAACAAGGAGGTCCAGATAGATGGGAAGGGTCCAACGATGTGTGCACAAAATCAAGGTGTAAATAATATGCATATTTTATTGTAGAACATCTGAAGGGCCCTCTGTTAGTCTAAAAGGAACCGCAATTCAGTTGGGCAAACGAGACTTCTGGAATCAAAATATGGATGCATCAATAATTTGATTCTGGTGGGAGGAGCCATGACCAAATATGGGCATGGAATCAATTTTTTGATTCATTTGGGTACCTACACTTTTGACTTCAATTGTAACGTTACGGTTGAAAAAAGGCCCATGACGGTGAGATTTTACTTTAATTAGGAAGAAAAATGTGGTAGGTATGCAAAAGGTGTTACTTCAAAACTAAGAAATTGTCACTTTGGCCTTGTGAATGGGAAAAAGACAGAGCCACTGTCCATCAGGTAAAAGCTGTTTTTTTTTTTGGAAAATCACACTGTATGCTATTTTTGTTTCATGAATTACATACCTACCTAACAAGTAGTATTTGTGTAAAATGGCAATATGAAATTTTTAAACCCCTGACTTTCATTATTGAAATGCTTTTATTTTTAGAATATGGTTTTTACCTGTTGCTTCAGTTTTTGTATTCTTGACATTTAAAAATTGTGAATTGTTATCAAATGTTGTGAAGGTTAAGTACAACATCACTATAGGTATGTGTTGTGGTGCTGAGGATACCACTAAGTGAGAATGATAGCAAGATAAATGATGTATTCTTGCAAGCCATTGTCGCCTATCTGTTAAGATTACCTTTGAATCAAAATAATGATTAGCCAGCTGAGCGTGGAATCAATGTTTTGATTATCTGTTCAGAGTGAATCAATTTATTGATTGCCTTTCACTACCACTTAGAAGTCAGATTACTATGATTAACCCTCGCATGTGTAGGGGGGGGGGGGGGGGTCGGATGGACCCCCCTCGTGGTTTTTCGCGAATAACTCGCGTAAAAAGCGGCCGATCGCGACGAAACTTTCAGTACCCTTGCATTGATCAATTTTACACCTTCCCTGAAAATTTCATGACTCTGTCCCTGACCCAAATGACCTTTGACCTGTGACCTCTTTTCCGAGACCATGTTTGGCCGGAATCGCGATTTCGCGTATGTCGGCTCGCATTAGCCGCGCGTTTGCAAGCTTTTCGTGGTTTCAAACGTTCAAACATGTGATTTGATGTTGCTCCCATACATAAGGGTGGGTATCAAGGTCACCTGAAGGTCAGGTCAGGTCATTGACCTTTGGTGACCTCGGGTGACCTCGGTTCACTTTTTCGAGTTTTACATGTTTCTAGGCTAGTTTTTGGAGCTGAATTCGAATTCAGCAACCATTTGAACATTTACGAAGTAGTTTTGGTGACTTCGTAACATGTTACGAAGCTGTCAGAGGCGGTTGACACGTACTACGAATACCCGTCACGACGCCTACTGGTTGACCTGACCTGACCTGACCCGACCTGGTCTAAATGCTTAAAGACATCATCTCTGATCAAAACTAACACGATATTCGTGATCAGCACCTCGAAAAACCCCTTAGCAGCCACACTTTACGACTTTCTAACAGGTCCCGATTTTCCCGACTTTGGGTCATTGACCTGACCTGGAAGGTCAACCAATGACCTAGGACCTTAAAATTGGGTATCATCGGCTTCCTCTCGTCACGGGCAACACGCTCGTTTTTTCCGCGAAGCTCTAGTTCGATCAGGGGCCAAATGGCAAGGGGGATCCAACCGACCCCCCCCCCCCCTACACATTAGAAGCTGGCAAACGCCGCACACATGCGAGGGTTAAAGCAATATCATTGTGCTCGGTACAGAATTTCAACATTTTTTTTCAACATATGGCATGTTCCTTCTTGAAACACTGGCTTATTTTTAGGTGATTGGTGATTAAGAAATGGTCTACATTTATGCCCGAATATGGTCATGAAGAATCAATTTTTTATGCCTCCATTTTTTGATTCCAGAAGTCTAGTTCGCCCAACTGAATATGCATGAGGGGCCCTTTTTGGACCAAGAGGGCCTTCTGTTGGTCTGAGGGGCTTCCAATCGGCCTGAGGGGCCTGTTGTTTGTTCGAGGGGGCCTTTATCAACTGGTGGGGTTTTTCTCCATCTGAGGAGGTCCTCTATCGACATGAGGGGCCTCAGTCAGTGGACTGAGTCAGAGGACTGATCGAAATAGTGGAGGGCCTCTCCCAACTTGGGAGAGGCCCTCTGCTATTCTGAGGGGCCCCTGCCCGGTCTATGAGTCCCTCAATCGACCTGAGAGAGCCCTTTGTTCACCTCTGTCCTCTGTTGGGGCCCTCTGTTGATCTGTTGATTTCCAACTGTTGGTCTGACCCTATGCCAGTTCCCTATGCCAGTTCTCAGATCGGATCCACTGTCTATCTGAGGGGCCCCTATCGGTTTGAGGAGGACCTCAAATGGCCTGAACCATTAGAACAAATTTATTTATTTATTTATTTATTTATTTTACATCGTGAGCAATTCCGTCAAAACAAGAGGCTATTACATGCTCGTGTCATCATATAGCAATGGACTGGGGAAACGAGACTACATAACGCACATACTTGACACATGCTAACAGGAACAACACTACATCATCGCAGAATGTAGCATCACATTCCATGGTTGACATGCTGGGGCTCACGCTGGTGTTCTAACAAGAACTTCCTGAGCGTGGGCTTAAAGACAGCCGGAGTTGACTCTCGCAATGTCTGTGGCAGCTCGTTATAGTCAGATACCGCCGAGTAGAGAAAGCGGCGCCTCCCAAACTCCGACCTGATCGTGGGAGTCACCAGCATGTCACTGCTACGGGTGTCTCTCCCGTGTACACTCCGTCTAATGGACAGGCTAGCCGACAGCGCCGTAGGCTCAGACGTGGCTAACATTTTGTGAATCGACACAAGTCGGTGATACATGTACATGCTATCAGCATGAAGCCAGCCACGTTCATTGATGACGTCACTCACGCGATCGAATTTTTTTCGTCCAGAGACGACACGCGCGGCGAACCGAATCACCTTCTGAAGTCGACCGCGTTGAGTCGCATTGCTTGCCCCATAAACAGATAGGCAGTACCGGATGACGGAGAACACCAGGCCTTGTACCATGGTGGCCATCACCGACTGTGGCAGACTGTGTCTGCTGTGGCTCAGTCCACACAAAGTGCCGGTACACCGCCGTATGACGTCGTTTGTGTGCGTGACAAATGTCATGTCCCTTTCAAACCACACACCGAGGTTTTTGACGGCGTCTGAGCAGGTGATGGTTGAGCCGGCGAATTTGATGCTGACTGATGGAATGCGACGGTTCATTTCTCGTGAGCCGAGCACGATGAACTGGGTCTTCGCTGCGTTGATTTTTAGACCATTTTTGCTGTACCAGTTGTGTGCTACAGACAGGGCCTCTTCGAGCGACCCGACAAGCTGGGCCAGCTCACTCGGCTGTCCCGTGACAAACAGCTGGACGTCGTCGGCGTAGGCGATCATCTCCGTTGGGCCGCCGTCTACGTGCAGTGGCAGATCGTTGGAGTAGATGTTGTAGAGCAATGGCCCGAGGGCGGATCCTTGATAGGTGCCAATCGGGTTCATGAGAGGACTGGAGAGCGTGCGGTCAATAGATGTCCCTGTTGATTGCACCTGCACGCGCTGGTAATGATCAGCCAGGTAGCTTTGAAACCAGCGCGTGTCGACGCCGTATAGCTCCAGCTTGCGTAAAAGCGAGTGGTGCGGGATGGAGTCAAAACAGCGAGAACAGTCCAAATGGCCGTTAGTTTGTCTGAGGGGGCCTTTTGTCGGTCTGAGTGGCTCTTAGACGGCTTACACATAACCCTCAGACGGCTTACGAGGCTCTCATGGCCTCATGGGCTGTAGGGGCCTTTGACGGTCTTAAGGACCTTCATCCGGCCTACAGGGCCCTCAGACCACCCTCAGAACCGACTGAGCGACTCTATGAAGCTATCCATGGGCCTTGCTTGCCCCTCAGTTCTTACATTTTTCTTTTCTTTTTTAATAGATATTTTTATATTTATTTCGGCCCCATCAAAAACTAGTGGATGAAATCCGATGACCTTTTGGATTTTGAGGGGGGTTACCTTGGGCCCCTGTAAGTTTGGTCCCCTCCTTGAGGAAATCCTGGCTACGCCCCTGCTAACATGACCGTACCATACACATCATAGCCTTAGTTTGAACCAATGTCAATGTGAAAGTTTCACAAAAAAGAAATTCAGAAAGGTTTGCACTGATGAAAATTGTTTCGGTAATGTTTGATCGGTGTTGGTGTGTTGCAGGTCTTAGAGGTAAGTATGCATTTCTTAGAGTTGAAATGTACTTAGTATTGGATTTTAATTTGTTTCAGATCGAAGACATGTCCACAGTGCAGAGGGAAGACACATGACAAGAAGCTGATCAAAATATTTCTGGATTGCTGTGAGACAAGCTCTGAAGCCTCTGACCCAAATCAACTCCAGAATGAGGTATGACCTGGATATCCAATTTGCTTTGGATGTTTAAAGGATGTCATGGTTCATGTGTATGACCATGAGAACAGTTACTTGTTTGAGTGTTATTCATTACTTTGAAGCTCTGAGCTGCACATCTTGTTACTAGAATAATGTCATTTCATATTGCTTCAATAATTTAATGCTAGCTCTGATTTGGGTCAGTAGTCTAGTCCAGCAAGTTTGAAATATTAGTTGCACTGCACATGTATGTATTTTTATCATACATGCAGCTTTGATCATGTTCTTTTTCATTTCGTTGTACTTATCTTTTGCAACATGCGTAATCAAAACCTTTACTGTTAACGCCAGACCCCTTGAGACCCTAATTTTTCGCGATTACTTTTAAATGCGTGAAGGAATTTCAACCAAGCTCAGGACATGGCCGTTTCAAGACAGGCCGAAACTTTTACAATTTAGATATTTTATCGCCATTTCAATATTTCAGGCACTTGTCATTGACTCGTAATGTTAACTGTTTTTCCATCCTGGATAGAGGCTTTCTACGTCATATGACATTAGGCTCCGCCCACGACTGCGGCATTGACCCGTGCCCATCAGCGACCTCTGTACAAACGACACCCCTGCCATCTGTGAAGGACTATGAATTTCGCTGACGCTTCACGTGCTATGAGTCAATTGCAGCAGACGGTCAAGTAAATGTTAGGCTCTTGTTGACTCTTGTATATAGGACCAAGAGGACCATCACTCCTCAACCTACTACTCAGTCGTGCTTCGAACAAACGTTAACGATTCCTAACAAATACGATTTTCGATGTAGGGTATTGTAACGCAGATGCGCTACATTTTTTTTTCATCCTTCATGCGGAATTGCAAGCTGTGCCACAAGCTGAAACACGGCCATCTGCGAGCGCCGCACAGACACGGTCAGCCGGCTAAATCGGCTGTGATACCCTCTCTCCGTCCCAGCCGGCGTCCACACAGGCGGCGCAGTCGGCTCTGACAAACAGGGGTCCCCTATAGATGACCACCCCACTTCATGAGCACCCGGATCTGAAGTCAACAAATAGCATACCGAAACGCACCATCCTGCCGGTGTCGAGCCATTAATCAGTAGCCTTTGGAAAACAAGACTCTGTCCCACGCTCGGCACCCCGCCAGAGAACAAGGAGAGGGGAGCGCAGACCGGCCCTGATTTGAACCAAAACAAGAAAGGGGAGCGTGGACCGATCCGGTTTGTACGAAAACAGGATGAAATGGAACTCGGTCACCGCCATGGGAGTAGGACACCTGGCCGGAGACATTCAAAACAGGGGGAGCGCAGGACTAAAAACAAGAAAGGAGGGCGCAGAGCCGGCCGCCACCTGGCGCCTCAGGCGGCGCAAATCGCCGGCGGCGAGTTCCGTCCGATCGCAGCGTGAAGGGGTGCGACTGCCATGGCCGGGGGTGCCGAACTTCAGCAAATCACGAACGTTTGAAGGCGGAGCCAAACGCACTTTCTGAGAATGGAGGACGAAGATTGGACAAGGAGATGCTGCCCGGCCCTCTGAAGTATGACGTCATCAAAAGTATAAGTTGATGAAACGGAACTGGAACGCTCTCTCTGGTCCTGGCTCTCTCTCGGACGACGGATCCCACGCCGCTCTTCGCTCTCGGCTCACATCTGACACCGTGGACAGCCCACGAGAGACCAGCGGCTGGCATCACGGCGCCGGCGGCGGCTCCGGCCGCCTGGCCGGGCGCTGGACGGACACGGCCATCATGTCAGCGACTCCATCTCAAGTAAGGTCACGCGGTGAACACGGGTGCGCACCTAGTCCCTAAAATCCTTCAAGTAACCCCCCCCCTCGTTACTGCTATGTGAGCCACATTATATTTCCCCTTTTTAGGTGTCGTCTGCAATGTTTTAGGCCATTCAGTTTAGGTAGTTAAATTTATTCTTGGGACTTTCAGTCTAGGTAGCTTAAGTTCACAATTCGATTTCGGTAAACTATGTAACTGTGCGCGTGGCGCGAGACGCGTGCCGACGTGGACCCTCGTCCGGCGCCCCGTGGTGATTAAGGCGGACGGAGGGGATTATACACCGTGGGGAGTCTGGAAAGGGACGGGCGACTGTGTACCGCACCGCGCGGCTTGTGGGGCTCAGTTGATGGGCGGCCTGGGCCCAGAATGTTTTCTTTAAATTTGACGTGTAAGGGAATTTAAGGTGTTGCGTCGGAGTATGTAAATAAATGGGACTTGTAAATATTGAAATACGAGTGTGAGTATAGTGCTGAAGGGCAGGGATCGGAGGATGGAGCATAAAAGGCCATATGCCAACCCACAGTCGGGAAAGAGGTCATTTCCAAGGTGTCTGGCCAGAGCAATTTACAACGATCAGTTTTCTTTATCTGTTTGATTTTACACAGTGCACACAGGGATTATACGGGGAGCACAGAACACACACAGGACCTCCCTAGCCTAGCCGATACTGGAGCTTCTCCGGTTGACTCCTAAGTGCCCTTGCCAGTGGATTTCCTGGCACTCCATCCTCCCCAAATTATCCCACGGTCCAAACAATAGCGATTACACACAACATACACAGGACCTCCCTAGCCTAACCGATACTGGAGCTTCTCCGGTTGACTCCTAAGTGCCCTTGCCAGTGGATTTCCTGGCACTCCATCCTCCCCAAATTATCCCACGGTCCAAACAATAGCGATTACACACAATACACACAGGACCTCCCTGACCTAACCGATACTGGAGCTTCTCCGGTTGACTCCTAAGTGCCCTTGCCAGTGGATTTCCTGGCACTCCATCCTCCCCAAATTATCCCACGGTCCAAACAATAGCGATTACACACAACACACACACGACCTCCCTAGCCTAACCGATACTGGAGCTTCTCCGGTTGACTCCTAAGTGCCCTTGCCAGTGGATTTCCTGGCACTCCATCCTCCCCAAATTATCCCACGGTCCAACAATAGCGATTACACACAACACACACCGGACCTCCCTAGCCTAGCCGATACTGGAGCTTCTCCGGTTGACTCCTAAGTGCCCTTGCCAGTGGATTTCCTGGCACTCCATCCTCCCCAAATTATCCCACGGTCCAAATAATAGCGATTACACACAATACACACAGGACCTCCCTGACCTAACCGATACTGGAGCTTCTCCGGTTGACTCCTAAGTGCCCTTGCCAGTGGATTTCCTGGCACTCCATCCTCCCCGAATTATCCCACGGTCCAAACGATAGCGATTATACACAACACATACAGGACCTCCCTAGCCCAACCGATACTGGAGCTCCTCCGGTTGACTCCCAAATGCCCTCGCCAGCGGATTTCCTGGCACTCCACTAATCAATTTACCAACGGTCCGCACACAAGCAACACACTAGACCTTGTTGCACACGAAATATATGTAATTTTATTCTACATGGACACTGCAAGGGATGGAACCGGGGAGATAGATGATGCACGTCACGCCCCTGTGCGTGGAGAATCCACCGACGCGGCCATGGGTTAGGAGGGAGATGAGACGCGAGTAGAGACGCGGACTGTACAAATAGAAAAATCGGGTTTCCCGAATGGCGCTGAACTCGGACAGACCCCACTAGATATAAGGCCTCGATTGAGTAAGCCCTGGATGCGTGCAATAAGTCGCGAAATTAAACGTGAGGATGAAGGCGAGTCGGGCACAGACCGCCGAGGAGGGTTTCAAGAAATGTTACCCGGTCAGCCTCGTGTCCTGGCTCGGAGGGGACGACGGGCTGTAGTCTGTCTAACCTCTGGCTAGCGGGACACGGGACCAGTGGCCCGATTGTTCCGGCCCAGGGTAGGCCTGGGTGATAATTAAGGTCACGTGGGCCGTCGCCTGGGATGTGTATCGGCGGGTGGGCCGCCGCGAGATGACGGTGTTCCGTCTCGGATTAACAGCCTCGGAGGCTGGGCAGATTTTAGGCTGCCGGGCTGGCCCGGAAGCCCTGAACTATGACTGGAGCGAGATGCGGTCATCAGTATCACGGATGGACCTTAGTTACCCAGCCCGGTTTCAAAAAGATATGTAGGCCCGCTATCGGTCCCTCAAGTGGTCGGCGCGGGACGTCATTTGAAGAGCGACATAGATAGTTTCGGAGGTGGTTAGGACCCCGGGCGTCTTAGCGAGGGAATCGTATGCCGCCGGAAGAGTAATGCCCCGCGAAGGAACGTATAATGCCGCAAGACGGGGGTGAACATTAGATACCGAGCATTCGAGTCGGGTGATCGCAGTCAGACGGTGCTGGCCACCCGCAGTCAGTCGAGTAGCTCCGGCCATGCTCTGGTCCTTTCGAATAGGTCTGTGACGACAGCTTAACTACCAGCCACGGATAGATAGGGCTTTGGACGCCTATGTGCTGGTAGTCGACGATGTGTGTTGAGTGCAGGATATCCCCGAGTGGACCTGCGTGCGTGGAAGACGCGTGTCGTCTTTGTAGTTAGCCGACGAGAGCTAACCTTTTTTTAGGTCGCCGGGTTGGCCCGGAAACCCTGAACTATGGCTGGTGCGAGATGCGGTCATTAGTATCACGGACGGACTTTAGTTACCCAACCCGGCTTTCAAATTTTAGATACGTCCGCCGCGGAAAGCCCGGGCTACTGAGTGCCCTGCGAGCTCTAGCTCCGGAACCGTGGGCTGGAGTGTGTTAGAGATGCTGACTGACCACTGGCAGCAGAAGGTAGGTCCACGCGTGAGTGGCAGTAAGACAAGGGCTGCGTACGTTGTTGCAAAGGTTTACCGGCCCATGCTGTAAGTCCATTGTTCGCTCAACAACCTGCGTGCGTGTGTGTTTATTATTTGTGTGTAGGTAGTTCGGCATGGTCTTGGACCCGCTATAAGTCGCGTAATTCAAGGGCGGAGTGCCGAAATCTGTGGTGGTTCGTATATTCTATTCGTGTAGCGTGAGCATTATGAAGCGTTTGTCTGATGTACGGAGCATTGTGGTTATGAAGGGATAACGGTTAATGAAATTTAAGGCCAATGACTCAATA